ATGATTGAGCCCTTTCTCTGTTTAATATATACTAGGAAGGCAGCTGGATGTATAGTATTAAGTAGATAATCATACATATAGAAAATATCAAATTTATTCTGTATTCTTTGGAGTATGATTGTATGAGCCTTTTAGAACCACACAATAGTTGATCTAGATATTTAGGGTTTTTTCCCCAAAGAAAAAGATATGTTACTACTTCTTTCTTCCCCAACAGAAACAGTGTAAATACCAAGTGTTTTTCTAAAAGAGGATTTTCTAGCCATTTTAACTGAAATTAAAGACTATTACGGTAATTTGGCTGATACTGTCATTTTTTTGTTAATGTTGTAGTTTAAATAGGTATCACTATCCTTAATCACATTGATTTTTATAAGTTTCATTGTTGTCTCATTATACAGCTTATTCATAGAAAAATATAAAAGAAGCACATATCCCTAGCACCTTAACATAAATACCGATATGTATTTGCTTCTAGCTATTTTCCTATGCTTTTCTCTTTTAGAAACATTTCTCTTTTCTATTTCAGAAAAAGTAAAAGGAATTTCTTCCAAACCCTAAAAGCTATTAAGTAAAAGTAAGTTATCTCAGAATATTGTGTATCCAGTTTAGTAATCTGCTTTAGTCATTCACCACTATATGTTCTATAAATACCTATTCAGAAATGTTCATCCTGTTTAATGTGTGTATCAGGTATCTTTGGGTCTTGGAAAAGATCTTCTTGGTGTTATGGTTTAGAATAGTGGCTCTTAAACTGTGGTCTGGGGATCTCTGGAAGTTTCTGAGACCCTTTCAGGAAGTCCTTGAAATCAAAACTATTTTTACAATAATTCTGAGATGTTACTTGCTTTTTTTACTCTCATTCTCTCACAAGTATTCAGTGGAGTTTTCCGGAGACTTCATGATGCATGATACTGCAACAGCCTGAAGACAGTTTCCATTTCTAATACAGATATCAATGTCAGTAGCTATAACCTACACAAACAAAAACTTTTTAGGGTCGTCATAATTTGGTAGTGTCTAAAGGGAGTCCTGATTCCAAAAGAATCGAGACCCACTGGTTTAGAAAAAGATTGGGAATAATCTAGGGCCTTCCTTACATCACTATACTTCAGGTTCATGTCTCTTTTTAGCATGTCACCTTTTCTTTGTTTTTCAGAGATCAAGAGACTTACAGTTCTATTTCTGTCCCAGATTCTTCTCTGGAAGTAAGAAGCTTGTCAGTCCTCCAAAAATAACAATTCTTTGTTTGTTCCTTTTTAGATTTGATGGTAGAGTGGTGGCAAAGCTTCCTTTCACCCCCCTTTCTTACATCCAAGGACTGTCTCATCGCAACCTGCTGGGAGATGACACCACAGACTGTTCCTTCATCTTTCTGTATATTCTCTGTACTATGTCAATTCGACAGGTGAGTGATTGTATCTGCTATTTAATATGTATAATCTTCCTTGCTCTCATACCCTAAATTAGTTCTTACTTCTGCAATACTGGACATGTTTTACCTGTTGCTACTGAGTTCTTTCAGTTGCTCATTTTAGAATTCCAGTGTATCATCCTAAAGCTATTTTATATGCCTATAGGTCTAGGTTAGTGATCCTTAGGGATGAGAAGTAGTGATAAAAGCAAACATGGATTCCACATCCCATTCTTAGAGCTCTCAGGTTCCTTCTTCATTACAGCTATCTAAAGCTACAAAAGTAAAGAGTGGGTTTGGTCTTCCCGTTATCATTTCTTCATTATACTCCAGCACTTTTGGCAGTTCAGGAGCACAGGTAAGTGTAATAATTTGGTGATTTTAGGTTATTCACAGTTGAGATAAAGTCTGTGTTACAGAATTTACATTTGGCCAACTTGATGATTAGACATTCATAGTGAAAACCAGTGAGAGATAAGATGGAAGTAAAAGAGTTATGAGGGCCCCTAGAAAACGAAGTGGCTTTTCAGATGGAACTTTAAAAGCGGAAGGAATAATTAAAGTCTCCGGCCCAAGAATTCTGTGTATTTCAGGACATCATTCAGTTTCTGAACGTACTGCCATTCAGCAGACATCGTAGTAGAGAAGTTTGCACGTGCATCAAATATAAGCATAATTCTTTCAATATTTGTTGCATAAATGAATCTCTTAGAGTTGTCTTTATATCTCCCTTCTGTATACTATGTGTGGCAGTAGATTTTTGGTTGACCGGCATGTGAGAATCAGTAGGAAATGGAATTATAGTTTATGGCTCACCAAGATCTTTGTGATTGTATTGCTTAATATTTTTTCACAACTCGTCTTTTATCACATCCCCACAAAAACAGCATTTTGGCCATTCTGACTTTCTTTTTTCTTTCTTTTTTAACCATTTCAATCTCTTGCATGTACTGACTTTCTTAACAGTTTCTGTATTACGCTTACCCAGATATACTTTTTGCTTGTATTTTTCCTTCTCTCTGAATGCCTACCTCTTCTTC